CAAGAGTAAAGCATGTACCCAGGGCCCAATCCCCAGCATAATGAATCACTGGGGTCAGCTATGAAAGCAGAGGGTGAGAAGGAAGGATGGCTGGTATCACCTTCCGGGTCGCAGGTGATCCCTCCAGACACTTTCTCCCTTTGCATTTGTCATTAGCTTCACCTGCTTCCTAAACTACTGAGTTCCAAGCACTGGGTGTCTTCCCTCCTCAAACCCTTTGTTAACCACACTTCCTCTGCTTCTTAACCATCGGGTCATGACCCAACTGAATGAAAAATTGTCAATCATAACAAGTGTCTGAACATGGAGTGATCAAATTTCAGTCCAAAATCAAACACATAAGGAACCCGTGGTGTTTCTATCCAGCTGGCCCATGCTGTTCTTTACTGTGCCTTAGGGAGCGGAAGACACACACGCTACACTGAGCATGCTGTCCGGCCACACCAACAAACACTTCCTCCAACACTCAGCGTAGTTCAAGACTCTGGATGTTACAATTAGCATTTTTACTCACAAAGTTTTGGTTCGTTTAAAAATTTTGTGATTTAATGGTAGAAAATAATTTTATTATTTCCCTACTGCCATTCCTTAGCATGTATATATCAACTTAGTGTATCTTGGGGTTTCATTGTGTTGGGATATTTTATTTTAAAAATTGTTCTTTAAGAGCATGGGAGATGGCTTAGCTGGTAAATATTACTTGCCTGGTAAGCATGAGGACCTGAGTCCAATCATCAGAACCCAAGGAAAAGAGGTGTCCACACCTGCACACGAACCCGTGTGTACACACATAAATGTACACACAAAATTGTTACTTGAACTGATGGCTTGAATTTCACAAAAGAAATTGTTCAATTTGGATTATAATGGCATTTCCAACAATTGTTTGAAAAGGTCCTAAACATATACATGCCATTTTATTCTATGCATCTATACAAAGAGGCATTCACAGCATTGACAAGTATAAAAACTAAGACGTGGAAGATACTCTACCCTGCAGCATCAAATATTCATCCAAGATTTAATTCTTTATGTGAAAAATTTAGAGTCCACCAGGAGGCTGAACAGATGCCTTAGAGGTTAAAGCATTCATGCTCTTATAGAGGGCCCATGCATGCTTCATTCCCAGCAGCCACCTTGATTGACTCACAGTCACCTGTAGATGCAGCTACAGAAGAATTCACTGCCTCTGGCCTCTGTGGGCACCTGTACATGCATGCACCACCCACACAGAGACACATACACATAATTCAAAATAAAAATGTTTTAGAAATGCATCAATCGCCGGGCAGTGGTAGCGCATGCCTTTAATCCCAGCACTTGGGAGGCAGAGGCAGGTGGATTTCTGAGTTTGAGGCCAGCCTGGTTTACAGAGTGAGTTCCAGGACAGCCAGGGCTACACAGAGAAACCCTGTCTTGAAAATCTCCCCCCCCCCAAAAAAAAAAAGAAAGAAAGAAATGCATCAATCCCATTAATATACAAATTTGCCTTAATCTGAGCTAAAAGGATTTGCGGGTCCCATGGGGAGAGCAACAATACCAACCAACCAGAGCTCCCAGGGTCTAAACCACCAGCCTGGGAACACTTAGGGAGAGACCCATGGCTCCAGTTGTATATGTAGCTGAGGATGGCATGGTCTGGCATAGGTGGGAGAGGAGGTCCTTGGTCCAGTGAAGGCTGGATGCCCCAGTGTGGGGAAATTCATGGGTGGGGAGGTGGGAATGGGAGGGTGGGTGGGGGCACATCCTCATAGAAGCAGGAGGAGGGGAATAGGATACGGGGCTTCTGGGTGAGGGGAATAGGGAAAAGGGATCACATCTGAAATGTAAATAAAATATCCAATAAGAAAATAAATAAATAATAAAAAATTGCCTTAATCTTTAATGAACAATGAAAGTACATGTATACCAAAAAGGAATTGTTTTAGAAGAAATTTTTTGCCAGTAAATGCTTGGTTTTTATCAAACCTATTTTATATGCCTTTATACCCAGGGCTACATAAAAATTTCTTGCACAAAATATGTTGCAAGTGAAAAACGATTAAGAGCTCCAAATGACCTACATTGGCAGTAAGACACAGACAGGTTCAACACAGCCTACAGGCCTGTGAGAGTGGGATTCCAGATCTCCTTCACACACACAGCAGCGTAGTCGGGGTGGGGGGGCTCGGGAGCTGTGGGTGTGTCTCTCCACTGATGCATGCAGTCATCAGCAGCTCCACTGTTCAGCTCCTCCTCCACTCCCTTTCCTGGGGCATACCCCTCCCCCCCCACCCCCCCAGATACAGGGTGAGTCCTTCCTTAGCCTCCCTTAGCCACGAATGCTATAGCAGCTCAGACCCTGCAGACTGGCCTCCAGCATGCCCTGGATTTTTCCTTTCAGGGTGTATCTCAGAGTGATTTCTCATTTCTTGACTTCACTTTGTGGGCTCCATGATGGGGCCCACTGCCTTGCCACTGTTGTGTCCCTAACACTTAGCATAGAGTTGTGACTCAGTAAATAAGTGAAGTGTGAAAAAATGTCCCAAACACAACTTAGTAGAATCACTTTAACTCCCTGGAAGCTTGTAAGACCAAAGTTTATTGTGCTGACTTTTCAGAGGCACAGCAGCACAGTGATAACCCCTCCCCCCACCGGAGTTAGGTGTAGCTATATGACAGGTCACCAAAACGAAAGATGAACAGAAGTGACCCAGGAAAACCTTCCCTGGCTTTCCCCTGCGTTTATTGTTCTTTCTTCAGCCAGAGTGTAGATGACCCTTACAGTGACCCTAGAAACCACACATTCGTACCTCAGACCCCATGTAAAAGGGGGACACTCTTCTCATGTGTCGCTGAGAGAACTAAGCTCCAGATTTCAAATATTTACAAGTCATCAATGTGTTACAGAGCTCAGCCTAGCTAACTCAGTGACATAGCTGTTCACAATTCAAGTAATTTGTACCAATCAGCAACAGGTTGTTTCTTTTCCAAAAAGAAACGAAGGCCATTCAAAGGTCAGTACAATTTCCTGAGGTGTAGATGATTAAAAGTTCTGTTTGTTTGTGACTATTCGGAAAAGCTAGTAACCTTGCCTTAGGCTTGCCAGGGCTTGGCCCACAGCCACCAAATAGTCTGGGCAAATTCCTGTGATGTCAAAGCTCTTGACAGTGAGCTTGCTTCACAGCCTCCTGGTCACACCCCACAGGTCCTGGACCAATGCCCAGCTGTCTCTGCAAGTCCTCTGTCCCTGACTTCATCCCGGCTTACCTTGCAAAAACACATCTCAAAACACTGCCCTGTTCTTCTTACTGCCAGCTGAGGAGAAGCTGCCAAAAGACTTTTCGGAAAGCCACACCAATCTGGACAGCCTCAGAACAAAGGCTGCTCCAGAGGCTGCCCCTGTCTTGGACAGGAGCCACCCTCCAGCAGACCTGAGAGAGATACCTCCTTAGAGGCGGATTATCACCCTAGGGCAAAGATCTGCTTACACTCAAGATGGACTTGACTCTGTCTTTTCTGCTGAACGCTAAACTGTAAAAAGGACTCTTTCTCCCTAAGGGACCTGAGTACTTTGATAATCAGATTGTGTTAAGTGAATTAGCAGCATGTCCTGCACCTAATCAGCCTAACTCCAAGAAACTATCAAAAGAGTCACTTCTTGACCAATGCTTGTCTCCTTTAGTGCAGGTGACTGATCTGTTTGGAAACTCTCCAGATACAGTAGTATGTGTCGATCTTTTGATGGATGTGCCATGGGTCCTTTTAGAAATTCAGTGAAATACCTTGACCCTTTTCTCAGGAAAGTATGCAGGATACTCAAGCACACAGGAGGCTTAAGCAACTTCAAAGAGAGTGGGAGTAGCAGCTGCCAGTTCAATGGTTCATCCCAGGGTCATGGACTCCCTAGGGCAAGAACCAGGCAGACTTTTCCTACAAAGGGCAGAATGTGAGTGGGTCTGGCTCTGTCCACCCCCTGGGCTCAGCAAGTCAGTGTGAGAGCAGCAGGGACTTCGTGTGCAAGACGGATGACCACACTACAACAAAACTGCCGCTGGACACTTATTTCAACTTCCTATTGATCGTGCAAGTCAAAAAAAAATGTTATTCTCCTCATCTTTCTTCAGTCATTGAAAAAAAAAAACCGCTTTCATATCTGGTGATTCACAGGCACAGGTTGCCAAACTTCACTAGGGAGCCAAGGTACATTACATCTGAAAAGACAACTGGTACAGCTTCGCCATCATTGCCTTCTTGATACTGGCCAGCACTCCTTCTTTGTGGATACACACAGCAAACCACGGGAGTAGTGGCAGTCAGTCACTGTCACCAGGAGACATCACAGCCATGCAAGAGGTGGTGGCAGGTCACTCAGAATACAACACCGGGCACTCTTTATATTGTGCTCACTGCCAGATCTGTCACTGTATCTTGATGAGTATATAGACAGAATATAAAGTGGGGTTTTCCCCCCTTCAAGTTTCAACTCATAGTTTTTGCTTTTTATGATGAATGAGTGTGATTGACAGAGAAAGCATAAGCCCCTAAGTGAAACCGCTCGGCCATGGAATGGTCATTCTAACTGTATACATTCACAGAGATAGTTTGGGGCCTGAAAAGTGCTTACCTGGTTCCTTGAAATACTGTGTGATGTTTTAAGTTACGAGTTGATTAGAATAAGGTCAATTTTTGTAAACATACAGAATACTGTATCCTAAATTTGATTGTTTTTCTCTGTTTTGCAGTGTTGGGGGTCTAACCCAGGCCTGTGTGTGCTAGGCAAGCCCTATCCCTTGGAGTGACATCTTCAGCCCCTTGATCTTTAACCGTTTTTTTACAACTATATTTCAATATAATTGATTTAGTCTAACCCTAGAGCTTCACTTCATGGGTTTTTGAAACAATAGTCTAAAAAGCAGCCCAGAACTCTCACAATTTTCTACAGAGGTCCACAGTACACAAAATGTCAAGAGGCCTTGCTTGCCCCAGCAGAGGGCCTGTTCAACAACACCGTGTCTCACCAGTGCATTCACATCTTCAGTCTTGTGGATGAGCATGCGGATCTCCTCTGGATCGCCACTGAAGATTGCTTGGACCAGTGGTGGCTGCAAAACCAAGAAAGTGAGTATTAGGACAATTATTAATATATACACCTGCATTCACATGCCGATAGCAAGAAAGATGTTTGTTTGAGAATTATCAATAAGCAGGCATAAGTAACTAAGACTCCAGCCTACACTCACCAAGAATCTGAGATAGACCTTAAATACCCTGTCAAGAATAGGGCCAAATGCAAGGTTTCTATATTCAGACCCTATTGAGGTCTAAACCTTGTCACCGACAATTCAAATGTTGAAGTCACTGAAGACTATGCCTTTGAGAGCTGTTGCAAGGTTCTAGCAGAGGATCACAGATGCTCCTGTACCCTGACGGAAGACTGGTCCTCTACTCAGGGAAGGCCATCCTCTTCCAAGCAAATGTACAGCTTTGGGAGGGATACAGATTGCCCTCACATCCGAGAGGAGGACTTTGTGGGGGATATTACGACCTAAACACTTTCAGATCAATCTTCAAATCATCTTGCAATCGCTCCCAATGCTGCCGATGCTGCCAATGCTCCCAATGTTCCCAATGCTTAGCAGTGGGTTCTCGCCGTTTCACAATGACTACATAACCACTGGTTTAAAACAAGATATGACAAGGGCTAGTTAGAGAATGGAGGTGGGGGAGCGGAGAGGACCCCATCACATAGAAGGAACTATAAAATGTGACCCAGCTGTAAGAGCAGTGAGCTCTGTGGGATAAGGGAAGGTGTGCACAGGGTGGATGTGCAGAGAACCTGCCAGAAACCATCACTGGAGTGAGGGATAACTGTGGGAAAGTGTCGGGTTCAGGGGCTGTCTAAGGATCTTCTCCACCATTTCCCAGATGCCTACTGAGACCATTCCCTCATGGAACCTGAGCCTAAGCATGGTCATCACTGGCCATGTCCCCTCATAGGATGATTACTAATAGGGCCAAATGGCATAGTGACCATTCAACTCTACACAAATAATGTTCTCACTAAAAAATGGTTAACGGGCCGGGCGGTGGTGGCATACGCCTTTAATCCCAGCACTTGGGAGGCAGAGGCAGGGGGATCTCTGAGTTCAAGAGTTCAAGGCTAGCCTGGTCTACAGAGTGAGTTCCAGGACAGCCAGGGCTACACAGAGAAACCCTGTCTCGAAAAAAACAAAAAACAAAAAAAAAATGGTTAACGGTGTCAATATGGAATATTCAGCTTCTTTTCCCCCTAACTTCAAATCTTGGCAACTATATATATGCATTTGCTTACAACTTTTGTAAATATTTTAGTCCTAACAGGCAGCTGGATGATGGCAGCACCCCAAGTTTGACTCAGCATAAGAATCATCCGAGACGCTTATTAAAATAAGATACCTACGTCTCTTTCCTGGGAATTCTGATTAAGTTCATCTAGAGAAGGGGATTGTGAGTGTGGATTCTAATTAGTCAACACCTAACTCTCTGAAGCTAGAAGCAAACACTAACCTCGAGGTGGCTTTACAAAGAGACCCTTCCCATGCCTGCTCTCTTCCTGCTAACCAAGTCCCCAGCAGACCCACACCAATCTTTTCACACTGCTCTGTCTGCTGAGCTCTTAGCAAAATGCTATTGGGTGAGTTTCTGCCTAAACGAACATTGATGGAGAAAAAGAAAAAAAAAAAAAACCCCAACAGCCACAAGGCAAAGTGTAGAGGCAGAGTCTGGCAGGCTGTAGTGTCAAGCCAACAGAGGTCGCATGACAGCTGACAGACTCAGAGTCTGAGGTGTGAAGCCAGCACAGGCACTACCGAGCCAATGGTCAGTCACTGAACAAGAACACGGTGATCGGCACAGGACCTCTCACTCATGAGCACAAGGAATGCAGACACTCTGTAGGATTCATTAAGTCCTTTAGCTCCTCAGGTGAAACAAGCCTCCCAAGCAATGGCTGGATGGAATGTTCCCAAAGAGAGGCTTCCTGACACAGCTGCCAGGGAATGGTGCCAGAGCAGTTTCTAAGTGTGTCGAGCTTCCCAAAGGCCCCAGGCTTAGCTCTGCTCAGAGCTGCTTCATACCACATCGTCAGACACAGATTTCCTGGCTTCCACAGGAGGAAGCTGAGCCTTTGTATCTCTTCCAATGCATCCACACACTCACAACTGCACATATACGTACTGTGCACTTGTGCATCTATGCTTGGACACGTATGCATAGAGACACATGTTAATTCACTTACGGATACCTCTCACTCCCTGAAAACGTGCCTGTTCTCCACAGCCCACACCAGACAGACATATCTACCCCATTGTGCTGTACAGCTGTCGCCACTGTCTTCACACCTGTGAAGCCAAGTGCAACCAAAGCAGAACTTCATAAACAGACACTTTGATTATATAAAGGCTGCATGTAAGTAGTGTTCTTTTATAGACTTAGGGGACTCTCTCTTCCTTTCTCTCCCTCACTCTCCCTCCCAAATAGAACATAGTCAAAAAATACTCAGGGAATTCTTCTGTTCATTGGGAATTCAACCTCAGGTAAACATTTACTTGCATGATTATTCTAATTACATTATTTTCTCCGTAAGTGTTGGAGAGTTACACTCTGCCTCCGGTTCACCATTGTAACATTCCCAGTTTTCGCCTTAGTGGAGCTAAGCCTTAAAAGGGAAGCTTCACCTGCACAAGGCTGTGTCTTAAGCCTTGGCATGCACAGTTCAACAGGTCTCCCCTAGCCACAGTTGGCTCCATGTAGGGTTCAGTCAACTTCCGATCAAAAATATTAAATGGAAAATTCCAGGGATAAACAATTTTCTTTTTTACATTATACAGCATTCTAAAAAGGCATCACAAGATGTTGTGCCACCTTGCTCTTTCCTGCCTAGGATGGGAATACACTACCTGCCCAGGAGTCCCAGGTGCCACCTCAGCTATCAGATTATCTGTCAATATGTTCAAGTATTCGTTATTTACCAATGTCCCCAAAATCTAACAGTAGTGGTGATGGCTATTTTATTACAGCATAATTGCTTCACTTGGTCACTGATCATTACTGTTAGTCTATAAACCAAGCATTATCATAAGGAGGTACATACATACATGATTAAAAGGAAGCATCCTATACACTGGGTGTGGCACAGTCCATGGTTTCAGGCCCTCACTGGGGTTCTAGGAATACATACCCTGTAGATAAGGAGACACTGCTGTATTCTTTTTAAAACTCTAAATACCTTAGCACAAGAATAGGCAATGTAAGGCTGTGCATGCAGGATTCGGTGAACACTCTCTCAAAACGAGTCAAAATTGTGAAAAACAGTAATGGGGAAACACAGCAGTCACTTCAAGTCCCATTACTAGAATTTTCTTTGCACCTTAAGAGCTACAGCCAGGCAATGCTTGCACATGCTGTGAATACTAGCACAGTCCCCTGAGTGATACAGAAGCAGCTGGCATCTCCCAGCCTGGCTTCCCAGTGGCATAAGGGGGGCCGTATATGAATGGGACTTGTCCCCCACTTCCCTCCACTTCCATCTTTCCTGGAAGAGAGAACAGCCACATGTAGAGGTGACTGGCCACTAGGCTGATGACACTTGACCTGTGTGAAAAGCAGAGCAGAGCAGAGGGCTCCTTGTATTTGATGGCCATTGTGAGTTCTGTAGCAAACATGATAAAAAATAAAGACTCACCAGAAAGTCGCTTTCCATTCTCACAGCCCTTTCATCCTAGTACAGAAGCACTGTTTTTTGTTTTGTTTTGTTTTGTTTATTCTAAGCCTTGGAAAACAAATCAGGAAGAAAGGAAGAAAGGAAGAAAGGGAAGAAGAGAGGGAAGGAGGGATAAAGGGAGGGAGGGAGGAAGGGAAGGAGGGAGGGAGGGAGGGAGGGAGGAAGGAAAGAAACTTCATTTTTAAAAGTAAGACCTGTGAAACATTATTCTCAAATATGAAATAGGGTTACAATTCCACTAGGGGGCGCAAGATAGTAATTTGTTATCCTATCAACATACAGGCGGTATAGTTACAGGGAAGGAAGGGAATCAAAGGATCCCTTTACCTTTAAGAAAGTTCTTAGAGAGAAGCAAATACACACAGAGACACACCACAAACACACCAAAAACAAGTAAAAGAAAGAAAAGGATCAAACGGTATTGTTTAAACCCCACTTTTCTACTGAGCTATGAGGGCTGTTCATTGTTTCAGGAACTGTGAACAGACTGCATGGATAAACCCTAGGTTTGAGAATGTCGTTTGCATTATTTGAAAACACAATTTAGAGGACAAAGGAATGACACAATTGGTAAAGTCGATGCCACAAGCACGAGGACCCCGGTTCAGATCTCCAGCACTCACGTAAAACAGGCACAGTGCTGGAGGCAGGGCACAGAGACAGGGAGATCCATAGAGCCATTGGCCCGCCCACCTAGCCCAGTGGAGGAGGTCCATGTCCAGTGAGAGACCCTTTTCAAAAAATAAGGTGGAGGCCAGTGTGAATGCATGCCTTTAATCCCAGCACTCAGGAAGCAGAGTGAATGGATCTCTGTGAGTTCAAGACCAACCTGGTCTACAGAGTGAGTTCTAAGACAGCCAGAGCTTCATAACCAAATGAAAATAATAAAGTGGAGAGTGATAAAGGAAATCAATGGACATCAACTTCTGTCCTCCACGGGCACTTGCTCCACATGTACAAACATGAGCACATACATGCACCACAAAGCAACACAGAAACAAAAAACACAGTTCAATCCTTCTCTCAATTCTGCCATCCAACTAAGAATAAAGTCCGGGCTGGAGATGATGTTTCATTCTGGGTTCAGTCAGAGTGGCTGACCGGAAAAAAAAAAAGAGAGAGAGAGAGAAACCATACTGACAAACTTGAGGCTGCGGACATATCTCCTTGGTACATTATTTACCTAGCAGACATGAGGCTCTAATCAATATAGCAACAAAAATCCATGTGTTCTATGGAAACCACTAATTAGACTTCTCTGAACCCACACGGCCTTCCTGTGGTTAGCTGCAAGCTCTTTTCTATCTAAGCAGACCTTGGATGAGAAGCAGGGGAGAGAGG